ACCAACAGCGCTGTTGGGCTGGTTTAGCCAGACCCATGGTTGGTTTAGTCAGCCGTTAGCCGATGTTAAAAACGCAAGTTCTCCAAAATAAAAACCAAGTTGAGAAAACATTTGTTTATTGCATTTTGCTAAGAAATCAAGTAAAACATCTTGAAAACCACGTCATTTAGTTGAAAACCACGGCTAACCAAGTTCGCGCCGTTTCGCATGGTTTTCACTAAACGACAAAAAACGGAGAGTGGTTTTTGAGGCGTTTTTGTTGGAGAACTATTTAAATATGCCCAGAAGTAAAAACCAGTCATAAAAAGTTGAAAGCCACTTGGTTGGTTTGGACGCCAAAAACCAATGCCGAAAACCGAAAGCCGAACGCTGGTTTCTGAAAACCGAACGCCGGATGGCTTGGTTTTTGGCTTGGATGAACTCCAAGTGTTTTGACCCAAGTTTAAACTTAAGAAAAGTATTTTTGAACATGTAAAAGAGATTTTTATGAATTAAGCCTAGAGAGCCAAGATTTGGAATTTTGTGCTGGTCTTGATCACATTAAGACCGACTCAATACAATTCTAGTTCTTCGTTCTTGATTCTGGGTTCTTGGTTCTCAATTCATCATGCCATGTTCCTTCGCCTTAGTTTTTGCTCACTTTAGCTTCGATATGTCGCGGCGGTTTGGCATTATCAAAACCTGTCATAAACGAACACAGTTTAGTACGACGTAGGCGTAAACCCGTGTTTCAACAAATACTCCCACAAGTTCCAAATTAACTTGCAATTGATTTTCATATTCATATCAATTGGATTTGAGTAACATATACCCCTTTGTTCTAAAATTTCATATTTTTTATGTTGTGCAAAAATATTTTATTTGATAAATTTTATGTTTTTCACAAACTTTTCACTATTTCTTCTAGAAATAGAATAACAATTAACTTGTTAAATCATAAAGAGTAATGCACACAAGAATAAATACATTTATATATTATGAATAATAACTTTAAGAAAAGCAGAAGTCCATCCAAAATTATTGAATCACACACTAACTTAATAATAATATATGCATTGTGTCGGCAGTACAAAATTAATTATTTTCATTGTTTGCTACAATATTTGCACGGCAGCCTTTATTTCTTATTAGAATAATATATAAAAGTAAATAAAAACAATGAAGATAATGATGATCAAAGATGAGACTTAATTAGGAGGGGGCTGTTCCATAAAATATATTTTGCCAGCAGCATAAACAGGACTCGAACTAAGTTCAATCATCTCAGGAACATCGGGCAGATCTTTCCCAGGAGGATTTTCTACCCACAGTGAGAATCTCACGAGCCACATCCCCTATAATGAGAAGCAATTTGTACCTTTTTGAGACGGAATCGAACCCCAATGCAAATGTGGTAGAGGTTGTGAATCGGATCCTCATTGGAGGCAGACCTCTCTTCTCCCCGGTGGAGAGGTTGTAAATCGCGAGTCTACTTCCACTTCGCAAGCATATGAGGCCGTTCACGATGTTAGAGCAAGACGGTGATTTGCAGGAACCGGCGAATTTCTGGGAATAAGTTTCTGATCTGTTGCCAAAACCCCTTTACCGTAACCCAAGAGCAGAATGTAGGAGGCTTCGGGACGAGCCTGGAAGTGGGAGAGATGAGCCTCTGCAAATTGGGGATCGCGAATCAGACGCATCCAATCTCTACAGACGGATGAGAGATCTGGCCGGGAGCCTTTTCAGAACTTCACAGATCAAGTCTTTCGGGAGAATCTCGAAAGGGGAAACTGTCGTTATTGAACGGTTGCGGCCGCCGGTGTTGATTCGCTTCCTTCTTGCCATTGCCATGGTGGAGCTTTGAAGATCTGAAACCACCAACCCTAGACCTGGAAACAGGAATGAGGCTGTAAAGTTGTTTTGTTACTCCCGGCAGAGGTATATTGTTCTGAGGAAAAATCGAGTTTACAAACTTAATTAGAGTTCTTTTTCTTTCTTTCTTTTTTTTTAAAGTTTATTTACACATACTAATGAATTGTACTTTATTTAACTAAACATTTTCTTCTCATACACTATTCTCATAATTAAATTATATTCATTTCGTTTACTTATTTTCACAACTTATTTAATAATATACTCCGTAATACTCTCTCCATCCAAGTTAAAATTTCTCATTTTGACTTGATAGAGGTTTTTATGTAAAGTAAAAAAGAAAAGGAGTTGTGTACTTAGTCATTCTTAGGTCTGTTTTTAGAAAACAAAACAAATGAATAAAGTGCATAGTACTCAACAATGGCAAACTACAAAAGTTGAAGTTTGTTCTCAATTCAATCATTATAGATATTGTTCATGTCCATATTACTCATAGGGATGATTCACATCAACAAAAGCTAAGAACATATCCTTCAAACACACAATTTAAAAAAATTAAAAGAGAAGGGAAAAAGTGCCACACATATTTTCTATAAATAATGCTTCCAAAAATAGCAACATGTGCTTAGTCTTTTTGTTCTTCTTCCGGTTTCCTTTTCTTCATCTTCTCCCTTTTCTTTAAAAGGGCGCTTCTATAGTGCACCTTGGGTGCATTTCATTTTTGTAAACCTTCTCGCATAAAAAAAAATTTAAAATTTTTTTATTTAGAAAAAATAAATGCTTATTTAAATAACAAGAATGTTCATATGTAGGTCCATGATGGACCTTAGGTTCACCATAAAATTTGCCTTTCTTTAAAAACTATAACTTTTTTTCTACCATATGTCCCTGCATACAAAAAATGGTGGTGAAAAAACTCAACAAAATAAAAAAAGAAAACATAGACTGAGCAATAATGAAAGACAAACTAAAATATCGTTGATGCAATCATATTGGTAGCAAAGCCTAATGCAATGGGCAAGATTACAATTTAGAAGACTATTATAAATAAAATTGCAGCTGATTTCATGTACCTAAGTCAACAATACACCATTGGATTGAAAGAGGTTTGTTTAGAAATCACACAAATGCGTTAGGAAATATTGATGTGAATGTTTTTTTTGTTGTTTCCTTTTGGAATTGACAGGCAAGGCAATGAGGTTCTTTCTCTCAGTAGCTACTTATAAAATGGGTGTATTTGAGTAGTGGTGTGTGTGGGTTCACTAGACAGAGAGAAAACAAAGGGAGAGAGGAGAAACTAATAAGGTTACTACACAAGATATCACCGAGGTTGTATGAGTGAGTGTAAGGAGTAAATGGTATTTAGTTACTCAGGAAAAAATACATTCGGGTGTAGGGTGTGGAGAAGAGTTTTTTGTATATCGTTCTGAAATAGTGAAGATATAATTTTTCTCTCAAAATATTTTTCTTGTACTGTGTGTGTAGGTTTATTTTTCACGTTCTTGATATTTTGGAGTCTTACACGCTTAAAACCCCAACAATGCAATTAAACCTTTATTAACTGTTTGAAACAAGCATGCAAGGCTTCATTTTTGTTACAAACAACTAGAACCCTCAAGTATCCCCTCTAACCCTAGATTTAAGACCTCTTATAATGTTGTTCATGTTGATGAAAAATGATCTTTCATGTCCAAGACAACTAGAGGGTTTATTTAGGATTAGAGGAGGATGATCTTTGTAAAACCTGTAAATCTAAGAGGTTTATAAATAAGGTGATGTTCTTGGGGGTCGTAGCAAGACCCATTCTTTCCCAAGAAGGGCAGGTACTATGGGATGAGAAATTCGAAATCTTTCCATTAAAAAAATCGTTTCTCCCAAAAGAAAGAGGAAAAACAGGGCTGCAGTGGTGCTGGAGATTAGTAAGTAGGAATTACAGAATACTGAACCTTGTAATCATAACATCATTGAAGTGTACATACTCAACTTCTACCCAATGATTATTGCAGTTTAGACTTGCCCATTATTGTGTACTATGAATGCATTTGACACTTACAAATCAAGTGTATTTCCAATAACAGACAACAATCAGAAAATACATTAGAGGCACATATCACAGTGAAAATGGAGAAGGAGACGAAGATATACTCCGTAGATGTGAAAATTCAAAGCTGGGTTGGTGGATTAGGAGATAGAGTGATAGGGAGTAGATAATCAAAGTGGGGTGGAGGTTAGGGTATGTTGGGTGATCTAATAGAATAAATGAAAGTGGAAATGAAGAGGGGTAAAAGGGTGATTGTAAGAGTTTTTTATTTCCAAATAATGAAACGCAAAGAAACAAGTTGGACGGTCCAAAAAGAAAGTGAGAAAAAAGATATGGGACGGAGGAATATACTCATATTACCTCTTGATTTATTGAATTTTTATATATTTTAAATTATATAATTTTATTTTTAAATTTTACACCTATAATTAAAATTTAGACATGCAATATTAGAAACGAGAAAAAAATATTAGAGAACAAGAGAATATACAATTTCTAATAACTTTTCTATGGAGAACACATTACTCTTTCATACATTTACAAAGTACTTCATATTTTTTATCAAACCCTCTAATTATGAATATTCTCAAACATTCACGTTATTTACTCTTTGTTCGATCTATAATTAATTTCTACGTTTAACTTCACACCATTTTCAATAAAAATGAAACATGTGTGGTTGTGATTTGTATAGAAGAAATAGAATTGATATGAACCTCATACGGAGTATATGTTTCCTTGAAAGGAAAAAGGAATACTATTCGTTTCCTCATACGGAGGATAAATATATATACACACACACACACACGCCTAAGCAGACTCAAACTGTACAAAGAAAATGTTTTCTTTCGACAAGTTTAGATTTTTTGCCCAAATGTCACCGTGGGACCTCCCTTACAAAAGCCACACCACTGCCACCACGGGCAGGCGACAACAGCTGCTTGTCTTGGTCTCCATCTTCGCTCTCTTGTTCTTGGGGTGTTGCACTAGATACAGAGCCGCTCCCATCTTCGTCTGGTGTATGGTATGTATAATAAAAGAGCAAAACGAAATGTGGTTAGTTTTTACTCACCCAAAGCAAATATATATGGTGGCACAAGTTAGATGTCCAGTTTTCTTCTGGAATAGAGAGGCACAGATAATAACCTGCGTATATGTGGTACTCCGGGAGCTGTTTAACGGTTGTTACTTGAAGGCTTTCAGGAAGAAGACAATTGCACAAAGAACCTGAGATTTTAAACAGAAGAACATTTTGGATTTCTACATTACAAATACAATAAAAACCAAATATGACCCTTGGTTTTAAGTTTTTGGATTGCCCAAACTTTTAAAAAGAACTATCAACTTTTCGCGTTCTGTATATGGAGACACCTAAAACACGAACACGATAAATATGTGGAAAAATTGTAAATAGCTCTCTTAATTAAATACGGTTATTGTTGTTTCAAAAAAAAAAATACAGTTATTGTGTTAGTGAATAATTTGATATGACAGGTATTATTTTGGCTTAAAAGATGGTCAAAGTATAGTTGACTTATAAATTAGGTGTAAAAATTAAACCACAAACATCATAGTTTACAAATAATATGATTAGATTATACAAATAAAGTTTTACATATAACGAGACCTTTTGTGTGGCGCGTGAATATGCAACATTGTCAAAAATGCATATTCGGCAGAACTATTCACCAAAAATTCATTGACATGCATGATACATGTATGAAACACGAAAAGACAATCAGGTAAGTAGTGATTGAACCAAAACTCTGTTATATACCTAATCATTGTGTGGTTTTGCTTGTGTGTACATGTCTAAAGCTAACCATCACTTTTTTTTCTTAAAAATTAGTTTAGGGGCTAAATAGGATGTCTGAAAAGATCAGGGTGAACCAGAGGGTACATGGCCATGAAAATCAAAGTGAAAAGTATTAGGAGGGACATGACAATGTTGCGAACCTAGTAATCCCTGCCTAGGCATTAGCCTCTGTTTGGGTGGCTAGAGATTTTTCCCGATTAGGGCCCACACAATTCCACTCAGACCCATCCTAACCAAAATTAATCCCCGACCAGCAAATCAGGTTCTAGGCTCCATTTTTCTCCCAGAGAGTTCCTAATGATTTTTTTACAACATTGCGACACAATTATTGGATTTCTCCCAAATTGTTTCTATTAGGATAATAGAAGTATTAGGAAATCTTAGTATTAGTTTCCATTTTATATCGTTATCATATTTACTTTTCATACTTTATTTCCTATTCCTACTTTAGTTAGGAATCCCTGTGTATTCCCTTTTTTATAAGGGTGGAACCTTCATTGCTCAATAAGACCAGTTATTATCAAATTGTATCATTCTCCACATCAAGATGAACAAAAAATGGGAAGTGTGTGGAGAGAAAAATAAGAAGAGATGAATATCATTACCAAGGCTGGCGAGCCGATTCACCCATCCAGGAATCCTTTTCCCTGTCAACCTGTGAGATATATCATCTGTGAAATGGTTGCAATTCTTGGAAATGAGGTGATACGTGTCTCCGTGATACTCAGAAGCCATACTCTCTATGAAAGTTCTGAATTCTGACAAAGGCATATTGATACGACCCATTGGGATTGAACATCTGAATATAAAACCGGGACAGCTCTTAGGTTCTACTTCAAACACTCCGCTAAAGGGGAAGTCATGTGCCCCAAAACCATATTCCCTTCCATGAACTGAATGTTTTTGCAATTTTCCACATGCAAAAGATAAACTCTTAATGAGTAAAAGCCTAATCATACAATATGTCTAAACTTGCATGAAGAACATAGGTACAGAAATGAAAACAATCAGTTCCGAAATCGAAATCCAGCTCCATAATTTACTAGAAAAGCAAAACAAAGACAGGGAAAAACAGTGCCCTGCTCCTAAAACCCCCAGGGAATTGTTACACATAAGAACCAATCCATCCAATGACTGAAAACTGGGTAAATTTGGATTATCCGATTGGGAATTACTGATTGCGCATAAACCTATGGAAACTACAAACCTATGTTCATTGTGTTATGAAGAGCTGTCAGAAGTCAGTAGATGCCACAAATGGTACGGGAAGGACAACAACAACAACCTACCCAGCAGAGCCCCACAAGTGAGGTCGGGTAGTGTAGGTGTATGTAGGCCTTACCCCTACGGACCAGAGATGGTAGGGATAGTGTCTTCATTAAAATGATGATTAGTACTAGAGTTGAAATGAGAGATTCATCTATGATAGGGTAGATTTCGAAAAGAAAATGAGAAAATTCAGTTATAAACAGTTTATATGACTCCAGTCTAAACAACAGTCTTCGCCTATGAACCAATGGGTCTGAAAATGAATTTTGTTCCCTCAAAAAACAATAATGCACATTTCCATCATGTGAACTCAAAAAACATTTCACCCACACCCAATGTTTTATGTGAAATGAATAGGCAATAAGTATATTCAATCAAGAATGATTTTTTCAAAGCTAGATTTTCATAGATGTGCATTGATATTAAACTATCTAAGATTCATTTATGTGCTGGTGGAACAGCTGGACTGCTAACGGAAAACACAATTATACAAAGTACATCTTACGTGGGTTTAAGGAGCCTCTCAACTAATCTAAATCACGCCCTTCCTTCTTTTCATTATTGGAACCTTTTAATTCTATCAAATTCGTAAGCAGCATTTCATCGTCTCAACATCTGTAAGGCTTTGTTTGGATGGAGGGTTTTGGAGGTCTTAATATCTATGTTGACATGTACTAGTATTTGAGATTTCTAAGATTGAAAGATTAACCTCGTATTTTATTGCATAACTTTTCAATAACTTCAGTTCTTGTTTTTAGAAGCATTCTATTTATCAAGATATAATCTGATCCCCCCAAACCACTCCATCCAAACTAACCCTAAAGGTATGGTATAAAAAAACCATCAAAGGATCCTGGTATCTAGGCAACCTAAGATTCGTATTATTCATACGCTTTTAGGTCACAAGATCGAGTTCATCTATTGACACTCGGAGAATGCACTATAGAAGAATGGCTAAAGAAATATTCAAAGACAAAAAAACAAGATATGTAACTCGGATGATGCCCTCGGTATGGGTTTGCAAAGTTAAATTTAAACAATAATGAAAAAAAGGAGATCACTCACTACTTCCTACTTAAACCTCCGAGCATTCACGAACAAATCAAGAATCAATTAGTAAAGCACCCAAACACAAAACCTTCACCAATAGTTTCTCTTGAATATTCCCGGGGAAATGATGTCAGGTCACAAGGCTAAGCAATGTGGCAAAATGAAGATAAGTCCTAAACCCAATCCATAAACTAAAGAAGAAAAATACACTCAATCAACATCGTCTCCATACAAGCAAACTAAAATCCAAGAATTGTGGGTCGTGAGATTCAGACCTAGATCTAAAATTCATCCGACATACTCTTCAAAACACATTTCCAACAAAAACCCAAAACGCAGATCAGAACAAAGAGGCCAGAAATGATGAAGAAATTGAAGGCGAAAAACAGGCGATTCTTGATGTGCTGACCTTCAATGCCAGAATGAAAGATGCCCAATCCGAACCAAACGGTGTAGTGATTGATGGGGGTGAGATCATACACATTCAATGTGACTTGCGACTCGCAGCTGCCATTGTTGGCTGAAACATTGGAAGAAGAATTCGAGGAGTTCTCTTCGCCCATTTGATGGCTTCTTCTTCCACAAGTAATAATTTAACAACAAATAAGGAAAGCTTTCCTCTTTTCTTCTCAGGTTAGTTACGCCAATAAGATTTCCTTTCTGCAGCCATTTCTTTCCTCTTTGCCCCTTTAATTCAGGGATCCCATTGGAATATGGAATATCGTCGAAATACGAAAATAAATGGTGGGCTAAATTTATTCTTTTTACCAATCAGAATTAGAAAATATTCCGTAATAACTCAAAATATCATAAATGATTGATCTATTAAAAAAACTACATTGTGATATTGTGTAAAATAATCCCACATTTGTAAATAATTATACACTATCGAAATTTTGAATTATTTTATAGAATATTGACATAGAAAACTATTTTTCGTAGATCAGTTTAAAAGATAATATTTTTTGAGATGTCTTCATCATGTTTCATTACATAAAATGGACAATTTTAAATTTTAAAGTACATCTACATCTAATTTTACATTAGTCAAAAGAGATATGTGACACATCCTTTGAAGCTTGTTCTCATCGTCTAATCTCATTAAATTTAATTTATCTCATCTCATATGGTCATCTCTGATAATTCTAATCTGATTTTTAATAAAAATAAGTATTACATATGTCTCAAATTAAATTGTATATTTACTATTTACAAGGTCAAATTTCATTCTCCTTCTTTCTCTATTTTTCTTAGTAACTTGATAAGCACTGTAGTCATGTCATCACAAGAATTGTAGATCTTTTGATCTAGTTTTTACATATGTAATTTTTATTTTTTAATTCTACACAATTTTGCATTTAAAATAATTTAAAATTAACTTGAGTCAAACATCGTAAACCAAAATAGACGATTTAAATTGTGACAGGGCGAGTAATGAATAATAGGAACTTGAATAATTGTTATTCACCATATAACAATATAACATTTGTTTATACTTTTGTCAACCTAATGGCGCACAAAGATTCAACATCCCCACCTTCATTAAGACTTGAACTTAGGCGAACTTCTTCATTAATCTTGAAGAGTATGTTTCCTATCACTCAAGTCACTATCACTCAAGCTTGGGGAGAACAACTTCAAGCATGCGTCTTAGTTAGATATGGTGCATGAAAGTATGGAGTCTAACATTTGACTTGGTTTTTGGTTTTGTTATAAAATGTCTTAGAGCATCACTAGTCATTCTCCTCATTTTCTCCCTCACATCATTTTCTTTTTATCTTTATTGTCTCTCCCGAAGCATTTTATTCTCCTCTCAACCACACACCCCTCTCATTCACCTACCTTCTCTAACCATTTTCTCACACATGAGTTATTCGACTCTCTATTCCTCTTTGTTAGTGATACTCTTAAGGGCATTGATTAAGTATTATGGAGTACTCTCTAAACTTTTTACATGTGCTTTAGTTACGTTATTTTATATGTGCATATGGTGTTAGCTTTGGTTTGCTAAATCTTGGTTTTGATATTAACAAACAATATGATCTAGCTAACATTTGTTTGAGAGTTTCAGTTACAACAAATATCCATTAAGAATTGATTTTTAAGAACAAAATTCAAATACTAAACTAGCGTAAAATATATAGGTAAAATTAAATGTAAGAATATTATTTTATATGTCTAACCTCACAAGCTCATAATACACTCGCAAAATATGCTTAAAACCATCAAATAATTTTGGCTATTTTAAGAACCTCACTCTCCTGATTTTTATACACACACTTTGAGCTTGCATTTCTAGTTATAAACTCTCATATTCATAAGTTTATATTGTATATTTGAGAGAGTATAATTTTCTTCTACACCAGTTAAGTTTTGTTCTGCATTTTTATATTCAAGCCGTTGTGTAAAACCTTTGTTTGTGTTCTTTAAACACATCTTTAAACGGCCGAGAATAGCCGTTAAATTCTCACGTTGTAATGGTCGAGGATAGCCGTATAAATCTTTGGGTAGAGGCTTAAGGATAGCCTTTGAAATCCTTAGGGGGGCGGTAGAACATAGCCGTTAAATCTTCATTGTAAGTGGTTCAATATACCCGTTGTGAAATCTCGGAGTGAATTCTATTGGCAAGAGTTATTTGTCAAACTAGTGTGGTGCTTTGACGGAGTTCAAGAGACCAAAAATCCTTAAGGAGGAGCCTTAAGGTACTGGAGTAAGGATTTCCCGAACCAGTATAAAATCGGTGTGTCTTTTACTTTACGTTTTTATTTTTGCGTTTTATATATCGTTTCCGCATTTGCAAATACCGTTTTTATTAAACTCCGAANTTCAAATGCCTTATTCCCCCCCCCCCTCCCCCTCTAAGGCGTGGGCACAATGACTAACACACACACACACACACATATATATATAAACAAAAAAAAACAAATATATATATATATATATATATATATAGACACACACACACACACATATAATATATATATATATATATATATATTAATTTAAAATTTTATTTGACATATTTAATTATTATTTAATTAAAGCGTCAAAATGTAATTTTCCAAATATATACACACATATTGCACGGTATATATACTCTCTCCATATCTTAATGATTTATGCCTTATGCAAAATGAAGTATATTCTCAAAATTTTTTATTTCATTTTATTTAATGATTGGTATAAAAATATAGAATAAAATTTGCATAATTAAAAGGTACATAAAAAATCTACAAAACAAGAGGTGACAAGAATATTTTTTTCAACAAATAATCAATTAAAATATACAAATAAGCAAAAGTTTTCGTAATTTTTGGAATAGTGAAAATTGTACATCAATTTGAGACAGTGAGTATAATAAAATTTCATTTTACATTATTCTAATTTAATATTTTTTTGTTTGTTCATATTATTATATGTGTGTGGCTTTCTAGATAATCATAACGTTGCAATGATATTAATTCAAAAGTATTGCTATAAATAATAAACGGTATCTAGCAACGCATTATCACTATCCAAATTATAAGCACTAAGTTCATTACAACAATATCTCTAATGACACATTAGATTTGTGTAACTCTCATCTCTTAATCACAAAGGCCTTAATATAACTAAAAGTATGAGAATTATCACCTTGCTAGAGTCAAATTGGTTTACGTATTCTTAGACTGGCTTGCGAAATTCAAATAATATTAATATTATATATTAATTTATCTAGATATGATCATGCATTTTTACAATCATATCAATCAATGGTCTTGAAGACATACAATATAATAGTTAGGATAACTTATTCTTACGTTATCCACCTGATTATACTATATAAGATTAACTGCATATCTAAAGTAAAATCTTTATCAGATTACATTTATAATGAATTAAAATATGTAGGTCAACATATTGAAGATCATAATACTTTCAAAGCAAAGAATAGTTTAGCACTGCCCGAATGAGAACATTACTAATACATTGAAACAATAACTATATAGAATACTCATGATGGGTCATTCCAATAACATATTTCAAATATGTACTTATGTCTAGATTAATATATCTTGATACTCATGGCCAATGAGACACAATTGTTTTGTTTCATACATATTAGTCTTAGTATATTATAACATCTGAATTATCACAATATTCAAATAAGGATATTTTAGACATGACGTAACATCTTCATTTTCAAAGTGTCATAGTTGTAATCTATACTACCAAAGCATTAAGCCATAAACTAAAACTATGTTAAGATACACGAGATGTACAAATATTGTAAAGTCTATTATTCATGACGAACATAACAAATAATTATCATGCGATTGGTCACCTAGAACATAATTAAAGTTTAAACATGTAACTTAAATTGAGACGAAAAAGTTTTTTTTGGGAGAAGGATGGTTTCACCGATGGAACACACAAATTTTTTAATCTATAATAATAGGGTGCGAACAACAATACAATGATACACAACAGAAACAATGAAACACAACAAATGAAGATGTCGCACAATTAAATTGTCAAATTTGTTATTACAGTAATTTTAATAGCCATAATTCACCAAGTGCATATATAACACCAAAAAAGAGGGTGTGCCCAGAACTGCCAAAATTCCCACACAATAAGATACTCCATAGATTCAAACACAGAAAGATTTTCAGATAACAAACGGAGACAGAAGATTTTCAGATCACAAATGGAGACATTCCGCCGCCTTCCCTTCCAAGTGCAATACATCACCAGGCTCAATATATTATGCAGACACACCATACCATAATGAAGGATATATAGAGAGAGATATATATATATATACACGTAGACGAGATTTCGACATGTTGGCCCTGGCAACAACATTTATAAATTGTAACGAATTTCTTCACCAGAAGGAAATTGGCATAACTTTGTATCCACGCATATGAACACAAACCGGGAGATGGATAGATCTTCAATGGGAATTCGAAAGGAGAAAACAAAAGGAAACTGAAGAGGATTATCACAGGGAGGAGGACAATGGACTTACTTACAGTGATTTACTGACCGTTTTCCTTATATATCAGAAAACAAAATGTAGGGATGGCAAAAGAAAAGGGAGAGAGATGGAATGAAGAAGGCGAGATTGGTGAGAGTTGAGATGGTACGAGGATGTTCTGGACTAGATGCTTCCGGATGGGAGAGGACCCACAGTCCTGAAACTGTTGGCGAATTTCGGCCTCCACTCGGTCCTCCCCTTGACAATTTCAGCACCACCCTCGAGGCGGAGCAAATGTTGGCACTCAACAGATCCAGAGTGAGCCAGATCCCCAACATTATTGCCCATAACCGAGGTGAGAGATTGGACGACACTGTCCCTCCTGCACTCCCTCCTGTACTCTAAAGTCATGGCTGCTAACTCATGACTCTCCATGATGGGCAAGGGGGCGCTCTGCAACAAGTCAAAGTACGCCATAAGAATAAGCATATCACAACATATAACCAACCTGATTATTGGTTCAAACACTCGTGTGTCTATGGAATTGAAAGCATCGAGAATGGTTTAGCTTAATGGATGAACCTGATTCCTTTTGGTTCATATGGGTTTATAATTCTACTCCCCAAACAGATGTACATATTAAAAGAAAGGAAAAAAAAGAAGACAACCAGCAACATGCCTAACAGAAACTCAAAAGCAAAAAGAAAATTAAATTCTATATAAACCTGGCCAGTCAACTGTGTTTTGGACAAACACGACCTCCCAATTTATGTTTAAATATAAATGCGAACTCCCCATTTATGTTTGAGTCATACTCCTTATCTGATCAGTGCTTGGAAACATAGAGGATCCAATCTATCATGTGATCACCAGAAATACCTTTGATATACTCCATATATAGTTATTCACTACTCTTAGTCTATGTTTGGTTCATGGAATTTGAAACACGAAGGAAAAGAAAATGAGAAAATGAGATGAAAAATAATCTTTCTTGTTTGGTTAGAGAGGAAAAGACATGAAAAGTGAAAGGAAAAGAAAATGCGAAGACAAAAATGAATTAAGAAGAGGGAAAACAAAATTTCTCCCATTTTGGTGAGGAAAATGAGAGAAAACTGTTCTCTTCTTTTCCTTCCTAACTCTTTGAACCAAACATAATGTTAGAAAATTTAAATTCATAGAGAAATCTCACTAAATTCATCACTCAAACCACATGTCTAGTAATGTCAAACTATACGAACTCCAGCATCATAAACTTCTAGTCAGTTCTAACATAATAATCTGCACAGCAGCATGAACAAAAGGCAGCTCTAAGAAAGGCATATCTTCGAAGGAAGTGATTGAGAAAGATGAGATAGTCTCTACCTCAAGAATCCAGCCAATGTACTTAACATTGTTGACATGCTGATTCACATCTAAATCATTCCACCTTGGCTGCAAATTTAAATATATAACACAAAATTAGCACTGAAGGAAATGAGCAAAATATAATGCCACCAAAAATTTATGAATACTGACAGTTAATCCACTGCGAATGTAATCTGCTGTCTCATCATTGAGCTTCGGCAGCTTCCTGCTGTCCTCATCAATAATGGGTGGTGTATCAACAAAATGGCTTCCAATTTCAGCTCGAACCTCATCTGGCATTTTCGCTAATCTCCTTGTCTCTTTATTCATCATCACCCACAGGCTGAAATCAATTAAATGAAAATAAATACACACACACAAAGAGATACAAGATTATAAAAAACGGTCAGATCTTTCTAAATCTAATTTAACTCATGTTTTCAGCTATCCATGACGTTAAATATTATATTATCTCTTTCTGTAAAAAATGGAAAAAAAGGCAATAATGGGAAGTTTTCCAAAACCGGTGTCTATAAAAAGTAAATCCTCAGCCGCATTGCACAATACAAAATAATGAAAATACCATAACTTGCTGAACAAGCACAAGGTTATGGCTGCACCTTGCATAGTCACATGCCATAACAGGAAGGGAGAATATTCCAATTTCCAAATACCTATGAAGCACAGGTACGTGTGCGGCGACCGGTGCGGGTGCATGACCGGTGCGGGGGTGCGGAAATTTTCAAAAAAAAAATAGGGTGCGGGTGCAGCAAATTTATTTATACATTTTTTATTTGTATTATTCATTTCATTGTACAATACATGTATTTAATTGAAGCTGAACCAGACGAAGACATTTCCTCCACTAAATTGCATGCCAATTACAAATAACCCACACTTAATTCAATTAATCACACAATAACCAAGGAACCTACAAATTAAAATAGCCAAAACAGCCTACAAATAACCCTCAATAGCCTTGCTCGGTCGCTGCCCTCTCATATCCAAAAAAATTAAACTAATGACGCAGTTACAAATTCATACAAGGAGAGCACGCACCATTTCATACAAGAAGTTGGAAGAGGAAAGGGAGAGACTTAGACAAGGAGAATGAACGAGAGAGAGGTTGAGAGACACGAAGTATACAGATGAGAGGGGAATCAGAGGAGAGAAGATGATAACTGAAGAATGACGCCGGTCGCCGGTGAGGACGGCGCTAGAGAGCATGACCCGACGACGTTGATCAATCAGCAACGAAACCGAGACTTCGGAGCTTGGGAGGCAGCAGAGTCTCTCCCTCACTCTCCTTATCGATCGCACGAACTAGGTCTGATTCCCCAATTCATTTAATTTATTTAAGAAGTCTCATTTATTTAAAAACTGCCCCTCCCTAAAATAAAGAAATAACACAGCCACACCCACCACGCACTCGTGCCACACCCACCACGCACCCGTGCCACACCCAGCTGCACCCGCACCCGCACCCGCACGGTGCTTAGTGCGCCTGTTTTGTAAATTGTAAAGCACCCGTGCTTCATAGCCAAATATACATAGCACAACTACAAAAGAACACCCATTCTCTAACATCTGAAGGAAACACATGACCAAATAATCCTGCTATAGAACCCCAAATTCCCAAGTAGATAGGAAATTGACGCTTGGTTTAATTGAGGTGAGTCCTACCAAAGAACAGTCCCTTACCTGGAAGCTCGCATTAATATGTCTCCTGTGCTGCAATCACGAATAAGCCAATCACGCCGCATACCATTCTTCCCTGATGCAGCTACCCACGTATCTACTTGAACGACATCACCCCTGTGAAAGAGAAATATAGCTAAGATAATAATAAGAAACGGAAGATGCCTATTCAAAACGTACTAATAAAACTGTACAAGGTTGCTAAATAGAATATCAATAAGGAATTGTGAAACACCGAAACACACCATTTATGGAAATAAGATACAAAAAAAAACACCACTAACCAGGTAGGATAACGATCCACCAAAACTTGCATTCTACTTACAACCCATATTAAATTCTTTTTGCACATTTCTGGAGTTGAACCAAACCCATTACCCAAGAGTCCTGCACTCTTAACATGATTCAGGGCAGTTTCCTGCAGAAGCAGTCACACCTGATGAGGAACAGTTCAAGTCACTAATAAATTGTACTTCTACACTGCTATAAATGCATTCAGCATACCTGCAAGTGATTCATCATTGTTTCTATAGACGCAGTCTTGTCAGCTCCTATTTCATAGGACCTGATACTGAAATTTTGACGAAAAACCAATCCCTCTTCCACAATCCTCCCCCAGCTAAAAGAATCAATAAGCTCATTAGAGCGTTTTGGTTTCCAGTCAAGCATCATCCATTGCTTCTCAGCAGCCAAGAAAATAGTTGTGATGGCAGCAAGGAGCATGCTCCAGTCGGGCAGCTGATTGATAAATGTCCTTGGGTGAGAAGAAGATGTCAATTCATCATCAGTTCTGGGGCCTTCCACTACGCCTACCTTGAACCCATTAACCTTGGGAGGAGCTTGTGCACTGGCCTTTACTTGCAAATTTCGAGAAGCAGATGATTTTGACTTCATGCCCCGTGCATTGAGGCTGGCCGGTGCAGTTCCTCCCAACTTACCAGATGTTTGGGCACCAGACTCATTAGGCAGATTGCCAAGAGGAAAAAATGCAGCAGCAGCAGCAGCAGCAACCATGATGGTATTACAGCAGCTCAATACTTGGTGTAATATTAACAAAATTCAATGTTGGTCCAGACTAATCTCCCAGCTTAGTAAACAAATGGATCAAGTTAAAAAATCACCAAAATGCATGGAAGAGTGAGATTTTCTACCTGCATAGAAAGTTTAGGAAACATAAAACATGATCAAGCATCAAGGGCTTTCTATTACCAGAAAAGAAATTTTATGAGAAATAGTGTGTGGTATTACAGAGATAGGATGAAAGGTAAATCTAAGTGAAATATGCAGTATTCAAGAACAAAAATTATTTCAAATGTAGGTGCCTTTCTCACAAAATTATTTAAATAAATACTCCCTCCGTCTCAAAAAGATTTAATTCAACTTATTAAAAAATTGGTTAAAAAAAAATTAAATTTATAGATATAAAAACAAATAAAAAGTTCTACAAAATAAGAAGTGAGAAGAATATATTATTATGTTATCAAATGAGTTATGAAAATGGACAAAGAAAGAGGCCAAAATTTGAAGTTGTGAGTTGTGAGTTGTGAATTGTAGGCACGATATTCTTTATGGAACCTAGAGAGTATTCTAATAACCCTTCCCCACACACACACAAAAAGTTACCAAATAGGAATAGAAACTAAAGCACTTTTATCATACAAGAATATAATTAGAATTCCTACTACAAAAAAATAAAAAGAGAAAAAGAATAGTCAAACGGAAACATTTTCTCCAATTTTAAGACTCTAATATGTATAATGCACTCCATCCGTACGAAAAACAACTTGTGTTAATACTTGCTTTTTCCCAAAAAGAATCTTACTTCAACAAAATAATAATAATTCCTATCATGTTTATGGTTTTTAAAAAAGATTGTGAAATAAGTTCAAAGTGCTAAATTTAGTTAAAGCATCAAATTGCTTTAAATTTGCATCTATATTTTATGGTTTTAGTTGTGCTTTACTAGAAGTTCATAAAAAATTCTACTTAGTCAAAATAACCATTTTTATGGGAGAAGGGAATACGGAGTAATTCTCAACCTAAAGGGAAGCGTCTTCAAAGAGCTGTACTCGGTTCCATACTTCCATTAATTTGAAAAGTTTTGGACTTCTACAGCTGGCACCTATCTAACTGTCTAGTGCTCTGTATGGCAACGTGTTAATGCTTGTAACCTTGATTTGATGGATGGAAGAGGCCCATGTGGGAACATGTAAATCAGAAAAAATCAGAAAGTAGGACATGATTCTGTAACTGAAAATTTATGTAACAATCAGATTAAAATCAAAGCAGAAACGGGACGAAATGTACAAATTACTGTAAGTTTCAGGCACCGAACAGTAAAATCGAGAAATGAAAGAGGGCAACACAGATCTAACATTTCTCTTGAGAAAGAAAAGCCAAATCGAACAAATTTCCCCTGCGTGAATCGTCCATCCTCTCTCGCATTACTCAAAATCCAAACACAATTTCAAATACCAAACGAATCTTCCAGATCAAACCATTCGCAGAAGCGCAAATCTTTAACAAAAAATTAAAAAACAATCCCGAGCAATAATGAACGCAGATTTACCTTTCGGCAGCGCAGAGGCGATGAATTTCTGGGAAATTGGAGATGATGAACGTTGAATGCATGCATACGGCTCAGAGAAGCTTCATTTCTCCGTCCAGCAAACCCGTTTCGAGGAAATTCTCGTGATTTTCAATCTAGGGCTTGCTACCGATTTCCGGATGACAGTATTAATTCTTATATTATTTTTGAAAAGAAAAAAGAAAAAAAAGAAATTCGAATCACTGGAAAAGATTTGAAGAAAAGGAGAGAAAATAGGGAGAAAGGAGCCAGCGGATCTTGGGTGGTGGAGAATGGGTTCCAGTTTGTAGAGCTTTATAGTGCCACCACCTGGACCCCGCCAGCCTCGCGTTTATCCGACTCCGAATGTCTTGCTGTTTTGCGCTCGCTTTCCTATTTATTTACCACTCTGCCATTTTTGGGGGTTATGAACTTATGACTTATGATTATGAACTACGGACTATCAATTTTACAAATAAAGTATCGCGTCCTAAAAATAAAGGTGGAGAAGGTGCGGTTTCGGTTCCGGCACTCCTGCCTACTAGCATGTTCCGGTTACAAAGAAATTGCTTCTTCTGCTTTGACTTCAATGCCGTTATAGATATCACAGACTCAAATCATTGTTTTGTGTCAGTCATGTCTCTAAGAACGCTTGTAATAATCCAAGTTATTCACATATAATTATAAATTATTTGTATTATTAAAGCTAAGCAACCGTTGTGCAGTGAATGTTAGTCTTGGTTTGCTAAAGCCTTGTGTTTTGATATTAACAAACAATATAAGAGCTTCGTTTAAGTGTTTCAGGTACAACACGAATCTATTAAATTCGATTCTCAAGAATGAAGTCAAAACACTAAACTAGCGTAGAATATAGATAGAAACCATTGTAAGGATATGATTTTATATACTTATATTCACCAGCTCAAAAGCACTCACAAAATATGTTTGAAATCTTCTTGTAATAATTTTCAAACATCCAAAAGGCTTTAAACAAAATTGGAAATGATTTGGACAAAAATGAAAAGAATCATTAAAATGGTCAGCAGGTACCTAGGTACCGGAAGGGATCCTATGAGTCAATCTGAGACGGTTCCCCATACCGTCGGCCCAGGACCCCCATACCGTTTGGTCGAGACCCCTTACCGGAACAAGTACCATAAGAGGACAGCTACCGCCAGAGAGCTTTAGCCTGAGAAGGTACCTAGCTACCGTGACAGGGTACCGTAACCATTGGAGGTATTGTTCCTGATTGCTGAATTTGAATTTAATTAACTTTAATCACCTCCCAACGGCTAATTAACACCTAGTATCGGAGCGAGGAAGCAAACTCGAATCCCTTGGGTGTCGCTGGGGGGGAGATTGTTGCTCTTATGGGGGGGACCATCGATCACTCTTAGGGATTCGCTACTGTACTTGTCGTGGTATCGGGTACTAACAGCTCAACCTGATGAGGTACATGAGTCGTGTATCTTGTGAAACCCCTCCTGTCCATCCACCGCTCAGTATTGGGGCTCCGCACTGCCGTAGTGAACTGTATGAGGTGCCATATAGGAACCTACCTTGGCTTGGAGCTATAGAGAGATGTGATTAAATAGTAAGTGTCCACCTTCCTATCCCCAAAATAGAAATTTCATACTCCGTATTTTTTTTCATAATAAGAGTTTGCACTTCACACTATGATCATGTATAGTGGTATCACACTAAATTTTTTGATACTATATACTAATATTATTGGAATGTACTCTTATTTATAAGATTAAAAACATAGAACTCCTAATCTGATATTTTTTCTTCATATTTTACTCCAAACTAGTGTCTCCCTTGCATTTTTGATATTTATAATAAAACTTGTTTAATTTAAAATGTTGTTAACTTGTAAAAATTATTTTTTTTTGTAGATGTGGTTATACGTGCAATTCTATAAGTTTTTATAATGTACGGAGTAGATAATAACATTAAATCATATTCTAATTAATCACCAAAAATCTTGTGGTCCAACAACATTGAAGTGGTTCGATCTTCTAAATCCAAGGCAATGAGTTCAAACGCCAAAGAGGTACAGTAAATTAAATTAAGAATTTATGTTTTGCATAGTTGCCCTTCATCGTTGTACCAAAGCTGATTTCGTAACGGTTCTTATTCATGGTTATACTCCCCACCTGCTAGCTAGACTACACTCACCAGCAAAAAATATTTTTGAGGCTAAACTTTGTTATCCTAACCAACCTAGAGTATTGCGGCCCATCGATCACAAGAAACTCCGACCCCGAGATTGAACCTACGTATTAGTACACAACGCTTGCCCCTACTCATTTAGTCATATATTCCCTCCGTCCCCAAATAAACTTCCTTTTTTGACTTTTTGAGAATTTAAGGGAGGAATATTTTTGTATTGACTTTTCAAAAATACTCTTGATGTGATGTGTAAAAGTAAAATGTGATATTTAGATTATTAGTAAAAAGGTATGATGTGATAGGTAGGGTATGAAAAAGTAAGGGGTAAAAGGGTTTTTTAATGGAAAAGAGAAGTTTATTTGGGGACAAAGAAAAAGCAAAAGAAGAAGTTTATTCGGAGCCTTGATGATCAAGAGGTCACGAGTTCGAAACTCACCGCCACCCAAATTAAAAAAATTAAGGTTTCACGTGCAAGGCTCAAAGAGGTCACGCCTGCACGTGAGGGGGCGTGTTAGAGTATATAACAATCATTCCTGGGCCACAACTACAAGCTTGAGCTTTTGGTTGAGTTGGTTTCTTGACAATAGGTAGGATATGAAAAAGTAAGGGTAAAAGTGGTCTTTTAATAAAAAGTGGAAGTGTTTTGTTGGAAGTGAAAAAAATGAAAGAGGAAGGGTTTTTGAGAATGGAGGGAGTAATTTTTTCAACCCTTCCGGTTCTTCTAAATCTTTTCTAGTTTCCCCTAATTTTTTCAATATTCGACTCTGTTTTTAAAACACAAACCAATAGCTAGATCCCAAATAGAGTATAATAATTTAATTTACTTCGTATGTATTACTCCGTATTTACGAGTAATACTTGTGTGTGTGTATATGTATGTATGTATGGTGTGTGTGTGAATGCAGCGGGTTGCTTAATTAGTTATTCCTAACTTCCTACTTCCTTAATGTGCCGATAGTCCAGCTACGCGTTAACATCATGCTTTCTATAACTATATACTCCGTATGTGGCTTTCTTCCACTGGAGTAACACTTTAAATTTTAAAAGAAAACAAGCACAAATAGATTGACTTTTTTTTTCATCCTCCAATTAAATTTCAATTTTTTTTCTTTAACTTAAATTAACATATCTATTAAAAAAACACTGAAGTAAATGTTGCAAATTATTTTCGTCTATCTGTATCAAAATAAGGTGTTTTACATTTCAAAAATAAACTTTTTCCGTTTTTTTGGAAAAATATACTCTTTCTGTCCCAAAACATTTGTCCAGTTTTCCTTTTTCGAGTCTAACTGAATGAATTTTGACCTTCATTTAAATAAAAATTGTAATGAATATTTATATAAATAATAACTTTATTAGATTTATCTTAGCTTGTCGAGAACTTTCAAAGTTTCATTTCATTATACGAATATGAAACACAAATTGAGAGTAATTAAAATTCAAAATTTTATCTAATTAATTGGACTCGAAAAAGTTAAATTGACAAAAAAAATAGTGGAAATGATGTACTCCATAGTATTTATCTCTTACATGTATAGGTTTAAATGTTTAATCAAGTGATTTCATACTTTTCTCTCATATCATAAAAAAGTAAAGTGGAATTCAGGTTTAATTTAAAATAGAGTACTAATATTCAACAAAGAGTGCTTTTTTGGTAGTCCTAAAGTCTACGCCGTTTTTTGTGAATCTTCTTACATAAGTAACAATTTTATTTCTTTTTTATTTCAAAAAAATAAAAATACCTATTACGATAGTAAGTACGGAGTATTTAATACCAAGATTATATTCGACTAAAATATGTGGATGTTAGGTTCATAATAACATCTAACTCAAATGAATTGAAAAGCATTGCTAGCTAGCCACAATCTCAAGTTGACCAAATTTTCTAGATACCATCCATCTTCCATTCAAGTGGGTTTAACAAATACTATTCCCACATATACAATTTAATTAAGTTAGAGTCCACGCCAACAAAAAAAACTATTGGTATGCGTCACTATATATGTACTAGCTTCAATTTAATTGAATCTCTTGCTAATTTACTCCAAATTAAAGCCCTAGTATAGGTTACAAACTACAATACTCAACTTATGTGGATATATATGCTCACAAATACCTAGTTCATATCGGTTGTTATATCTTATACTCTCTTCTCCGTCCCACCCTCTTTGTCCATTTACCTTTTGACACACCATCCAATGCACTTCTTCAATCCATTTTATCTTGTAATTTGTATATTAAAAAATTATAAAAATTATATATTAATAATCTATATGTTAAGACGAATCAAACAAGATCACACATGACTATTTTTAGGCTTACACATTGAGAGAATTTGATGAGTCAAAGTGCTTAGATGAACAGTTCCAAAAGTCAAAACTGGACGAATATAGCAGGACGGAGGTAGTATTTAATTTATTTCATTGGCAAATTTTATGGTGGATCTAAATTCTATCATGGACCTACATATGAGCAAAATAAGTATTTCCTTACTATTTAAATAAGTATCTGTTTTTTAAATAACAAAATTAAAAAAATATTTTTTACATGAAAAGATCTATAAAAATAGTATGCACCCAAGGTGCACCACAGGAGCACTCTATTTCGTTGCATTTTTAAGTTTCTTTTGTTATACTTGTCTGACTCGCAATCTAACATTCATCTTTACCTCCTAACTCTTCAAAAATTGTATGGATTATCTCTAAAATTTAAAAATTACACCAATAGTCCCTGAACTTTTAAAAGCGTTGTATCCAAAGTCCCTTTGCGTCAGATTTGAGAGTACGTTAATCACAAGTTCATTTAGTGCAAGTATGAATTAATCTTAACTCATATATGTAACGTGAACGAACTCTGCAATATATTTTCCTGCACATTATTTTCTACTCCGTATATTATAAAGTTCTTGAAAATCGAGTTAGTTATTCCTACTTTAGCCGTCGGTAACCAGATTCCAAGTTCGGACATTAGTCAATCAAACTCTTCATCAATCACTCAATCTTTTTCATCAATTCATGACACTTTCAGCAAACTCGAGAAAGTATATTGAAGAGCATGTGATTAACACGCTCCCAAATCTGGAGTATAAGGAACATTGATGCAACATTTTTAAAAATTCAGGGACCATTGATGCAATTTCTAAAATTTAGTTGGAGTCCGTGCAATTTTCAAATAATTTGGGGGTAAATAGTGCAAAAAAACTATTTTATTTATTCATCTTTAATAACTATAATTTTATTTATTTATTTATTTTTTGTATTTTGTGTGTCACTATGTACTCCATGTAACACCCCGGCCCCCACTCTGACCGTAAGTGTTTGCTCATATGATTGTAGACTGACCCCACAAACCAACACAAATCTTTCCCACGCACTTTGTCCTCACTCGTGTGCGCCCAAGGAATTTCCCAGGGGTCACCCATCATTAAATTGCTCCAAGACAAACACGCTTAACTTTGGAATTTCTAGGTGATCAGCTCTCAAAAAAAGATGCATCTTGTTGGTATGAGTAGTACTATCAATCCTTTTGAGCTTATCCCATTCTCATCTTAATACGGGGTATTACACTCCATGTCCCAAAAATAGCGAGACGAAAGAATTTTACATATTTCATTCTTTGGGTGTCCTTTAAACAATTTTACATTTCTCAACTTTTTTTTAAGAAAAATAAATATGTGACTGATGTGAATGTCGTATCGATCGAATATAAGAAAAAAATTCGAGCGTCTTAGCTTCGAGCTCCAAAGAAATGAAAAGAAGAGAAAGAGACTAGAAATTAATGAGAGTTGCTCAACTATAAAAGCGAGAAGACAAAAATTTTAAGTAATTTTTATGACCTAGTTTCAATATCACAAATAGAAAAACTAAATATGTAGATATTTAAAAAAATAACTAAGATAATTATGCAATATCATTAAAAATTTGTATGAAAAAATAAATTTATACAATAAAAATGAGGAGTAAGAAAAGAAATATAATTATAACCCTATTTTTATAACATTATATTTCATACTAAAGATATATGATTTTGATAAATTCTTACATTAGCGGGTCGGTCAGGTCAAGTTCGGGTTCATGTTCGATCGGGTTTGACATATTTTTATCGGGTCATTTTGGGTTCGATCGAGTTCGAGATCGATCAACAAATCCTTTTTTTCAAAACCCGGTTTTTGCGGGTCAGGTCTCGAATAAAAAACAGGACGGGTCATTTTTTGCCAAGTCTATCTGTTTCACAAAACAATTCCACTTTGACTTTTTTGCTCTTTGCATAAAAAACTTTTACTCTTACAAGTTCTTAACATATATATCGCATAATATCGATTGACTATTAATAATATTAATCATATTCTACTTATATTTATCACATCCAAAAGTAAAAATAAAAAATACTTATCACAACTGCGCAACTAGGCATTGCATGCAGTTGGCACTTGGCAAGGCAAGGGGTGCCAACTGTCAAGGGGGTAAGACCGGAGTTCGATTTCTTGCAACTTCGCTGAGAGGTAACTATGCTAAACATAGGACCTCTGCAAGTACCAGGTGCAGGCTCCATTTTTTGTCACCAATTTACGATTAAAGTTCAATTTACCTCCTCTCAGTGCCCGTCCGACCGGATCTAAAGGGACCCTCGGGGATGAGTCTCATCCTTTTTATAAAAATAAAAAATTATTAATCCGTATAAAATAAACTCTCACTAAATTCACCAAAAGTCAAAACCAAAATTATTTCCCAAAATTTCTGTCTCATTTATTAGATGTTGACCACATAAAAAAGTGAGGACTCACGTAGTTCAGAAATAGTTTTCGGAAGTACGGAGTATTGCATATTTTATCAATTTATCGAGTTAGACCTGTTAATGAGTGAGTCGGTTTGAGTCAAAACTGATAATTTTGAGCCGTACCCATTTTAAAAGATATTGATCTTCACTCCTATCCAATACCCACATGTCTATGTTAATAGATCCAGACCTGTTTGGGTCTTGGTATCCAGATCTAAGTTACTGAGAGTTTTTTTATGTCATAAATCTTTGAATTTAATCTCAAATTTAATTTAGATTAAATTTGTATGTGACGTAAACAGTTACTCCCTCCGTCCCGGAGTGTTTGTCCACTTTCATTTTTGCACACCATCCAATGCACTTCTTTAATCCATTTTATCTTATAATTTGTATATTAAAAAATTATAAAAATTATATATTAATAATCTATATGTTAAGACGAATCAAACAAGATCACACATGACTATTTTTAGGCTTACACATTGAGAGAATTTGATGAGTCAACGTTCTTAGATGAACAGTTCCAAAAGTCAAAACTGGACGAATACTCCGGGATGGAGGGAATAATTGCTTATGACAACATCACATGATAGGTGTTAGCGTGTAACGCTACGCAAAATGCTTCTTCTAGTTTACGCGGGCCATAATCACAAACTTGATCTTTGGTTGAATTGGTTCATTGATATGGTATCAGAGTCTCGTTGACTAAGAGGTCACGGGGTCGAAACTCAGCGCCACCCAGTTTAAACAAAATTAAAGTTTCACGTGCAAGGCTCGAAAAAGACTATGCCACTATGTAATGATATGATCGATCGATTGGAGGGAGTAAAATGCGGGAGGGGGCACGACACTAGGCAGATGGCGCCTTCATTTTTTAGGACATGACACCTGGGGTGGGGATGTGTGTTCTTCGGTGATGTATGGGCAATGTAGGGGGCTATAACGCTCACTACATATATTCTACTACCTCCGTCCTAGAGTATTTGTCCAATTTCATTTTTACACACCATCCAATACACTTCTTTAATCCATTTTATCTTATAATTTGTATATTAAAAAATTATATAAATTATATATTAATAATCTCTATGTTAAGACAAATCAAACAAGATCACACATGACTATATTTAGCCTTACACATTAAGAGAATTTGATGAGTCAAAGTGCTTAGATGAACAGTTCCAAAAGTCAAAACTGGACGAATACTCCGGGACGGAGGGAGTAATAAGTAGCGTGTTTCTTTGAAAAAGTATACTTCTAGAGGGGGGTGGTTTCCGCGATGTAGTGGCGCCGTAGCCCGTAGTAGGGTACCACGCCCACTACACCTGCTCTAAAAAGATCATGTCCTTCACAACTTATTTTTTACTCCGTACTTATTACTTATTTTTATTGGAATCAAATCAAACCAGATCAGATCATACCAGATCAAAAATAGTTTTAAATATAACTACATTCAGATCAGATCAGATTATATAAGATCATAATTCCTAATTATGTAGTATACAATAATTTTCAAAAATACATTAAAAATTTAACTAATATAATTATTTATTTTACTAACATACAACACAAATTTTATTTGTACATGCCAATTTGAATTGAAAAACAAAAACAAGACTAGTAGGGACTAGGGAGCGAAGTTGCACCGAGACTGAGACAGGTACTTATACGAGGACGGGGTCAGAAGTGTGAAACGCCAAGTTTTTTCATACTCCGTAATTTATTAAGGACTTGGGTGTGGAAACACCCCCAGTATCCGGGCGGGAGCGCGGCACTTATTTGAAGGCTCGGTGCAATATAGGTAGGGAGTAGTTAGACATCCCTAACCGGCTAGTTAATTAGCATTAATAAGTCGGTGATTATCCGATCCATTTATGCGGTGGCACTAAAAAAACAAATAAATGTGTGGTCCATTATTTTATCGCATGGTGTGAATCACATTACGCCTTTCCATGTCAAAGGCGTTTGTCAACTGATAGAGAGAGTTCGAGAGAATTGAAAAGAGAGTCATGCTAGCCTATCTACGGAGTATTTTATTTCATGGTCCGAAGGGTGTACAAAATGGTCAACTGCACATTGCCGCTAAAATTTTAGGGTTTTATATTTTTAAATTCGGCATTAATTTTAAAGCATAAGAATTCTAAAAGAATAAAATAGGGCGAAAAATGTAAATTTTTAGACCGAACTAATTTTATTCTTTTTTATTTTTCATGGCGGCCCGCCTTATTTGTACGATCATAACCATTGGTTTTTTTATTTTTTTTCTACACTTGAATTGTGTGGTGGAGATGGAGTAGTGTATATTTGGGATTTTGGGGTACAATAACCTTAGATTTTTTTTTTACGGAGTATGAAAAAATTCTTCTAAATTATGATGATAGGGGTACACCATTTAGTGTACCCCAAATATACACCACGTAAGGGATATCACACATTTTTATTTATTTATTTATTTTTTTATACACTGAAAGGTGTGCGGTGTGAAAATATATTTGGAGTACATTTTTGTATACCCTAAACATTTTTTTTCTTTCTATTCCAGCCCTAACAAAACTACATGGTGTACATTTGGGGTACAGACTTGATTACCCCTAATCCAATTCATCAAATTATATTATAATACCCTTACTCTTTTTAAATGAGTATTTCTATCCACCTCTTTTGTCTTAATTAGTTCCAAAAGGGAAGGAATATAAACTTGATAATGAAATGAGTAAAAGTATTGGTAATGGAAGCTTCTAACAGAGGGATTAGATCGGAACACTTTAGGTCGTCCCTCTATTTTTTACGGTCATTAAGTATACTCTTTCCTTCGCTGCAAAAATAATCTTCTCGTTGTGTTTAACGATTTATGATTTAAGTTATATTCAAATCTTTTTATATGAAAAATGATGTAAAATTAAAAAAAACCAAAAATTACAAACTCTCTCCGTCCTTAAATGGATACCATTGTTCCTATTACGGTCTACTTATTTGTATATTCTCAATTATAATTTGAAAAAATAAAATATTATTGGAGTATGAACATTATCCAGAACCAACACAGCACAAGGCGTATATCTCCCAACAAAGATCATCTGAATCTAGTTATGAATGCAATAGTTGCAATGCTTGCAATGGAGTATGAACATCATCACTCGTGTTATTGGATAGGTATACATTAGTTTATTGTTTAAACCAAGAAAAAGAAGAGATTACAAGAAACCCATATATTTCCACAAGACCTCAACCCACTGGAAGAGGAAGACTAAACCTTCAATTGTTTGAAGAAAATCTGCAAGTCGTAATCGGCGTATTTGATTTACACAACACATATATTGTTAAGGGTCAACCCGAACCCTTCGTTTCGGCCTACTTCTGAATCTCCAAATGAGATATGAGGAGAAATGTAATACTATACAAAACCTATACAAACTTTTGATCTGAGATGCTGCTGCAACAGTAGGGAGATTAGATGGTTTCAAGTCTTGAGAGTAATTACAGACCTTCTCGTGTTATGACGAACACCCGTCATGCTTCCCATTTGATTCAGATGAAACTATGGAAGGTGGTCTGTGTTGAGCACTCTGCGGCGGGGGAGCAGTGATGGCATAAGTCATCCCTTGTGAGGAATTCTCAATAAGACCGGCAACTCCAGCAGCAGCAGATTGAGCATTCGAAGGGAGGAAAAGATCGTGCTTCTGGTCTTTATATGCACTCCATACCTGTAAATTTGGCATGTCCATAACACTTCAGCGTTCATTGATTTTAGGAAGTAAGAACTTGCAAATTTGTAAATATTTTTTTTTTAACGGGTGCAGATCTGTGTTAATCTCAATAGTGTACATAAAAAATGTCAGTAGTGCATATATAAGCAGGTCAGAATGTGAAGGGAAATCTAATTTCTAAGTTTTTGCTATTCCCGTCGCAAAAAAAAATGCTTAGTAAAACCACAGAAAAAGGAATGGGAACAAAACCAAGAACGAGGAAATGAGAAGAGATAAATCAAGTTTTCAAGTGAAAGTGGACAACAACAACAAACTTGGGATAATCCCAACTCCATCAAGGTCTGGGAGTCAATATGTACACAACCTTACCCTTGCCACCTGTAAAAACAGAGCTTTTTTCCCTCTATACCAGTGATATATTTACTACCCAAAAATTCATATTCCGTAGAAATTAAGAAGCAAGAAAAGATAATTCTCCTCCCAGAGTCATGATAGTTACTAGTTAGTGGCTCACTGTATGCAAAATCAAAAGTCAAAACAGCATAGCCTCAGTTCAAAAAATCAGTGACTAAGCTCAAAGGCCAATGCTTTTATCCTAAACAAGCATCATCTATATGCCTGTAGATCCCCACTTGCCCCATGTGATGGAATCAAATAATAATGGGCCTACAACTCAGCAAGTTGTGGGTTTAGGTTCTGCCCTCTCAAGTATTTAACTTAGGGTCCGTTTGGTATAAGGAATTGGTGGAATTGGAATTGAAATTCCATGGGATTCAATTCCATAGAATTGAATTCTGTCAATTTCAATTCATTTTTTGCGCTATCAATTCCAAATCCACATAATTTTTGTGCTACCAAACACCAGAATTGGAATTGAAGTCCCCAATTCCAATTCCATAGTTGAATTCCATGTACCAAACGGAACCTTAGAATTATGCTTAGACTATTGAAGAAAAGACCATTTCATTCACTGGGTTGTCCATCATATTGTAAATGCATATGGAAAGTCTTCTAATGAGCAGATTCTCAGAAGATCACTGTATGCAAGTCAATGTTAGAGGTTTGTTGTTTCGGTGTATGTTACAAGGAGTATATAAAGAGAATGCATTTTGGCTCGTTTATTTGCTGATTGATAACACATGTGACAACCATTTGAATAGTCTGTTTGCATATGTCATAACAGTTGTGACTTGTGACACTATGCACCAATTATAAGGCCTTATCAGCTAACCCCCCTCTGCCTTAAAGTGAATACAAATAACATGCCGTCAAAATCTTGAGAAAATGAAAAATAAATCAACAAGAACAAGCAGCTTTCATGAAGGCGTGAAACTTACATCTGAGGCATTCAGTATGTCTCTTACTTTCATGCAATGTGACCCTTCCGCTGCAAAGGCATGCAAAACCTAGACATATAGGAAAGCGATTTAACAAAGGTGTGAGGTTATGTGCAAGATTAAAAACGTCCTTGCAATAGAGAATACAAATATGAATTGCATTACATACTTCAAACTAAACAAAGCAGTTACATGTGCTCTGTATTACAAGCAAGTGAAAAGGTTTCCATGAAAAGAGAGCACGACCCTTTTACAAATACTCCATATGTTCGTTAAAATTGTTTAACCAGCACTTTAAATAGTTTAACCAGCACCACCCTTAAGATGTTTAACAGATAACTCATACTCCGTATGTAATAAATTTAACAATAGTTATAACTGCATTGGGACAATCTCAAACTTAGGGAGTGTTTGAATCCAATTATAGAAAAT